TATGAGAAAGGAATTTCTTAACTGGATAGATTGTAAATACAATAAGAGAAGAGAATGTCAAGGTGTCAATTGAAATTATAGATCAAGATGTCTGTGTTTCTTTTATCATTAACACGACTATACACACACACACACACACACACACACACAAATATAGCATAACATGTGCCCATAAAATACCAAGATAAGAAAAAGTTCCATTATTCAAGATAGTGTCCAGTTCAAGGTGTCCTGCCCTGGACAGGCTTAAAAAGAAGAATGCTCCTCATCAGCTTTGTCTGGCCTTGTAGTGGCTGACATAGGAAAGGGCATTTTGGGTTCACTCAGAGAGCAAAGCAAAGCATGTCTGTTATGCCAGAGCATACAAAGCATTATGGTAGGTTAAGCTTAGAGTGGGCAAAAATGTCTTTCTCTTGATTGGCCAATCCAGGTTTTAGGCCTTTCTCGGGTCCTGGGGGGCTCAAAATGGTTCACAAAAGCAATATGCTTCAGTCTGCATTCTGGGTTCATCAGTTCTCTCTCTGGAGGTAGATAGCATTTTTCATTATGGGTCCTTTGCAATCGTCTAGGATCATTGTCTTGATCAGAGTGGCTAAGACTAAGTCTTGCACAGTTGATCTTGACTTAATTAGATCTTCAAAGAAATCCTTACAGGGTAAGTTTTGGAACACACATGCATTTACATGGCAGTCCCCCATTCTCTTTGACTGGATGCACTGCCTCGGCAAGGCCACAGGGTGGAGCTGTAGCTGTCATTTTGATCATTTAGCCTAAGCACAGAAATGAAAACTAGTAGTAGAGAATGCTTTGGGATCCTTCTAGATGGGGGGAAAAATGAGTCTTTGCTGTCTTAGTATCTGCTATAAATATTCAGCTGTGGAAGAGCTGCTGTTACTTAGAAGCTGAACTTTTCAGGAAACCAGAAGTGATACCCTCTTGTTCCTTCCAAAAGTAGATCCTGTGAAACTCAGACGATGATAGCGTCGAGTGAGAGGACTGTAAGAAGCATGAAGGTAGAGAAGGCTCCATTTTCTACTGAAAACAGAAAAATACCAAAAATATTGAAAAGTAAAGAGCTTTGATGTTATGGAAACATGGCGGAAACATGGCGGCCCAGTGGATCAAGTGCTGGACCTAGGATCGGGAAGTTGTTATTCAGTTGTGTCCAACTCTCCATGACCCCATTTGGTGTTTTCTTCTTTAGCTCATTTGACAGATGAGGAAACTGAGGCAAACAGGGTGAAGTGACTTGCCCAGAGTCACACAGCTAGCAAGGGTCTGAGGCCAGATTTGAACTCAGGAAGAAGAATTTCCCTGACTCCAGGCTCAGTGCTCTATCCACTGCGCCACCCAGCTGCCCCTCCCAATACTTGTTTAGTTGTTACCCTTTCCCTAATCTCTAAAAAGGGGGTAAAAAATAGCTGTGATGGACTTTGATGACCATTCTCTTCTCTGGGCTTCATCTTCCTCATCACTTGACACAATGATTTCTTAGATCGTTTCATGAATCTATTCATGACATTTTCCCTGAAAGTTCCCAGGCCCCGTTTGGTCCAGATGGCACTCTTAGGTCTTAGAATTGGAAAAGACTCAAAAGATCATGCAATTCAACTCCTTTACATATAGATGAGGAAACAGAAAGGCCCAGAAGAAGGGAAATAACTTGACTAAGATCACACAATATGGAGCACAATAACAGGCTTTAAACCCAAGACCTCAGAGCCATTGCTCTCCTCCTCCCCACGCTTCCTCAGTGGGCTTTCTGGAGACACACCCTTTTGAAGATGGTAGGTATAGATGGCACTCCACGGCTTGAGCTTTAGTCAAGAGGATGAAGGTACTCATCAGGGCTTGTCATGATCTTCTGCACCAGACATTCTAGGCCCACATACTTCCCTAGGCTTGGACAAAGGATGCTCAAAGAATGTGAAATTTATGAGACAGATTTCTGTCTCACAACTCAGGCATTCAGGTTTCACTTCTTCCCCAACTAGGTCCAACTAAGCTCCCTCTCTCCCTTCCCCACCATGCTCCCCAGCCAGCATTCCCATCCAGGACAACAGATGAAGGTACTGATTTTGTCTTGTTAACAGTCTCCTTTTATTTTAGTGGGGCATTGTCTGATTCTGTCTGCTGTTTTTCACTTCCAGGACAGTAGAAGTGACTTTGGTTTAAAATCACATGAGAGTGTAATCTCCTTGGGAGTAGGGATTATTTCATTTTTTTGTAGACACTTAATGCACTCTTGTTGATTGATTGAAATTCTTTGACTGAAATAATTTATTAATATTATGATCAGAAGCAAAAAAATAAAAAGCAAGACGATTCAGTAAAACTGAGGGTGCTTGGTTAACCTTAAATTCATACACACACAAAGAACATCCTGATGTCCACTAGGGCAAGGAAAACTTTCTATCTGTCCCAGTAGCTAGCACAAAGGTCAAAATACAGAAGATAATTAATAAAACCTTGTTTATACTTGTTGTTATGACCTTCCCCCCCCGATTCCTATTAGACTGTAAACTCCACAAGCAGTAACTTAAAATCTAAACTTCCTACTCCCCCAAGTAGTTGACATAGAATTCTGCATAAAGTAAGCATTCAATAAGTAGGATCACTGATTTATGAGATGGAATCATTGAGTCCAACCCCTTCACTTTACAATGAAGTAACCGAGTCCAGAGGGGTTTAGTGGCTTGTCCAGTGACACAGGCAGTGTCACAGAGAACAGTTAAGCCCGGGTCTTGCTGTTCTCCAAACACGGCGTGCACTCTGTCTACCACATGAAGCCCCTTCCTTATATGTAGCTAGGTGACACTGTAGACAAAATTTCTGACCTGGAGTCAAGAAGACCTGAGTTCAAATATGACCTTAGACACTAACTGTGTGAAGCTTGGGCAAGTCACATAACCTCTGTTTGCTTCAGTTTCCTCATCTATAAAATGGAGATTATAATAGCATTCTACCTCACAGGGTTATGGTGAGGAACACATGAGATAACACATATAAAGTGGTTTACAAGCATATATATATATATATATATATATATACACACACACACGTATGAATATACATATATACACACAAACACACGTATAGATGAACTATAGGTATGAAGTGTATGGGATGTTTAGGGGGGACTAGCACCTTTGGTGCGAGGGCTGCTCAGCCCTTTTCAGGGCTGTCCATCTTCACCCAACTTTCTGCTGTGGCCCCAAGAAATTGTAGCATGTACAGTAGCAGTACTCAAAAGTAAAACCCTTTCGGCAGAGGGGCTAAACTATGCTGAGGGGTTTAATTAAGTTAGGGGGATGTCTAACCCAAGCATGTGAAGACTTTCCAACAACCATGAAGGCAGCTGAAGCATGCACTGTGGAGCATTTAGAGCTTGGTCAGGCATCTAAGATGCCAGGCTCATCCATACATCATGGGCCATCACCATGTCATCTTGGCTTTTGTCTTGCCACAGGACTTCAATGCCTCTGGAAGAGAGAGTGAGGCTGAGGACTTTGTGAAACTCTGCCTCACTTGAATCCCATTCACACACAAGTGATGTAATTGTTCCATTGAAAAGAAAGGACAAACAACAATGTAGCTACATAATATAATGTACTAATTTATGTGGCCATATAAATGCCAGCTGTTACGATGATGATATTGTATCTGTTTGTTGTTATTCCCTGAATACTTTTAGCTTCATGAAGGTAGGATCTATAGCTTATCTAAAATTTCTATGTCATCTAACAGCAGGTGCCACTGTGTCTAATGCACTGGACCTAGCTAGTCAGGAAGACCTGAATTCAAATCCTGCCTCAGACACTTAGTAGCTGTGGGCAAGTCACTTAATCCCCATTTGTCTCAGTTTCCTTATGTGTAAAATGGGTATAATAGCAGTACTTCTCTCATAGGAGAACTAAATGAGTTAACACATGTAAAATGGTCTGCAAACCCTCAAGGATAAACTCAGTGATAAGCATTATTATAACAATTAAGAATCACTTTGGTTTTTGTTATTTCTAGCACGGGCAGGGCCTGGCACACAGGCTTGCTGCTTGACTGAGAGAGTTCTGCACACAGCAGGGACTTAACAGATGCTCTGGCTGCTAGATCTGTGAGCTGAGGTCTCACTGCCTCCCTCTGCACGCAGCAGGGGCTTAATAGATGCTCCGGCATCAGCTTCTGTATCTGCACGCAGGGGTCTCACCCCCTGGGCCTCAGCTCCTCCTCAGCCCCAGTCTCCCTCCCTCCCCACACACAGAGTGCTCTGGGTGCACACAGCAGGCGCTTAATAAGTGTAGCTGTCAGCAGGGGCTCGTGAGCTGGCTGGGCCTCAGGGCAGGCCGCACCTCCCTCTGGGAGCCTCGGGGCCAGAGTCAGGAGTGACGGAGAAGTGGCCTCTCGATCGTAGCCATGGCTGGGCCGAGCTCGGGAAGACGAGCAGAAGCAACACGAGCCCCCATCACCCCACTGAAGGCCTTAGAGTGACCTCCAAGCCGGAAACACGCGTTGTCTGGGCGACCGCGGCGCGCTGAGCGCGGGGCATGACGGGAGGAGGCGGGCTAGGGAAAGGGAGAGGGGCGGGGCAGGCTGGGAGAGGCGGAACGGGAGGGGCGGGGCTAAGCCAGCCGGAGGAAGGGGCGGGGATTGACGTCAGGGACAAGAGCCCGGGGTTCAGACCTGGGGGGAGGATGACGTCGGGAGAAGTGAGTCACCTCTGAGGACGCGAGGGGACCGCAGTGGGGGGCGCAGAGCGAGGGTACTCTAGGGAGGAGGATGGCGTCAGGGGAGCCGAACGACGTTTACCAAGGGGAGGAGATTGACGTCAGGGCAGCCTAGCGAGGTTGGGGAACTGGAGAGGGATGACGTCAGGGGCTCAGAGGTCTTCTCTCCCCTACTCAGGTACCCCCGCCTGGGGACAGAGAGGGAGATTAACGTTAGGGGCACAGAGCAAATCTAGGAAGTTGGAAGGGATGACGTCGGGTGTTCAGAATAAAGACTGAAAGATGACATCGGGGCTTAGAGGGGAGTGAGAAGCACCTTGGATTAAGTTAAAGGAACTGGGTTCTAATATTGGTTCTGCTACTTACTGCACTTGAGACCTTGAACAAGTTACTCAGCCTCTCTGACCCTCTGTTTCATTATCTTGACAAAACCCCTGCTTCATTTTGTGCTCCAAAGCCAGATTTCCTGTTATTCTGCAGCAATACTTCCCACTCCTGCCTTTTATGATGATGCTTCTAGAGCTGAAAGTGATCTTAAAGATGCAACACCCTCTTTTATGTATGGGGAAACTGAAGCCCCAGAGAAGTCATATTCCCTTAGCTCAAGGTCACACAGGCAGGAAGTAGCAGATCTGGGATTCAATCTGAGGGTCCTTCCCAGCAGCAGAACAAGTCTCTTGACTCTCAGACCAGTGTTCTTCCTTCTCTCTCCCACTCCTTCCTCCATGAACCCCCAAATCCGCATCCTTGTCTCCCTGCCTTCATCCTCCTTCCCTTGGCTCTCCTGACACCATCATCCTTCCTTTTCCAAGACTGCTGTGTCCCCAGGCCTTTGTCCATCTTCCTAAGTTAGCTCTGCTCCTTCGAAGTCATCCTCTTCCAGATCCCAAGTCTTCTTTCCTCTGCACCCCTGACTCATTTTCCTCCCTAAGCTGTGCTCTGAGCCCTGAATGTCAATGGCCTCCATTTCCCTAACCTTGCTCAGCAAATCTTCCTCTCACTTTCGCATCAATCTCTTCCCCTTCCCTAGGCTCTCTCTGTATCCCTGACTTATCTTCCAGTTCCCTAACCCAGCTCTCCATCCCTGATGTCAAACTCTTCCCTTTCCCCAGGTGTTCATGACACCATCTGCTTCCCTTCCCTAACCTCACTTTGATGCTACCCTCTGTACCCTGGACGTGAATCCCAGGTCACTGCCTGACATCAATCTGTCCTGGTTCCCTAGGCTCACTCTGTGCTTCTGAAGTCAGTCTCTTCTAATCTCTCAACGTCTCCTTTAGCCTTGACACCATTAGACTCTGAGTTCCATAGATTTGTTCTGTGCCCATGATGTCATGCTCTTCCTTGCCTTAATTTTACTCTGAGCCCCTGTTGTCATCCCTTTCCAATTCCCTGGATTTGCTTTATGCCCCTCTCCTTCCTTAGGTCTTGTCTCTGACATCAATCTCTGCCAGTTCTCTAACTTTGGTCTGCGCCGGTGACCACGCTAGACTTTATTCTGCACCTCTGACGTCATCTCCTTTCAATTACTCAGACTTGCTCTCTGCTCCTGACAGTCTCCACAAGGGAAAATTTCAGGCAGGGCTGGGGTGGGGGATTCTAAGCTCCTGCGTTTTCTTCTATTCTTTATCCTGAGCCCCCGCTGTCATCCTTTCCAGTTCCCTAAGCGACATTAATCTTTCTCCATTCCTGGGGTAGGGGTGTGTGTGTGTGTGTGTAAGGGGAGTGGGTGAAGTGGGGTGGTTCTAAGCCCCTGACGTCATCTTTCAGTTTTTATTCTGAGCACCCGACGTCGTCCCTTCCAATTCCCCAGATCTGTGTCCCTAACATTATTCTTCCTCTCTTTCCCCGGGCGGGGTACGGTGAGTGGGGGAGGGGAGGGCTCTGAGCCCCCGACATCATCCCCTTCCAGTTCGCTAACCTCGCTAGGCTTCGTGGACGTCAATCTCCGCCCCTTCCCTAGACTTGCTTGGCACCCCAGATCCCAAACTCCTCCCTAGAGTACCCTCCCTCTGCGCCCCCCACTGCGGCCTCCCGGCGTCCTCAGACTGGGCTCACTTCTCCGGAAGTGAGGTCTGAACCCGAGGCTCCGGTCCATGGCGTCAATCCCCGCCCCTTCCTCGGGCTGGCTTAGCCCCGCCCCCCTTTCGCCTCTCCCGACTTGCTCCGCCTCTCTCCCTTTCCCCAGCCAGCCTCTTCTCGTGATGCCCCGCGCTCGGCCAAGGCCGTTGCCCCGGCGACGCGCGTTTCCGGCGTGATGGCCGGTCTGTGGCCTGAGATGGGATGGTGGTGTCTCCTGATGCTGCTGCTGGTCTTCCTGGGCCCGGGGGCAGCGCAGAGTCTCGACTCCGAACTCCGACCTCGGGCCCACACCGAGTCCACTCAAGGCCCCGATCCCGGGCCCACCCCGCGCTTCGGGGACCATCGGCCCGTGACCGAGGTCCGCGGACCCGCTGGGGCCACTTCTCCTCAGTCGCCCCTGACTCTGGCCCCGAGGTTCGCAGAGGAGGAGGTGCAGCCTGCTCTGAGGCCCAGCCCGGTCACGGACGGTGGGTACAGAGGAGGCAGGGGCAGGTCAGCGAGCTGGCGCGGCCCAGGCCCCGACAGCCGCAGTTATCGGGCGCTTGCTGTATGCACCGAGTGCACTCTGTGTGGGGGAGGGAGGGAGCCTGGTGTCGAGGAGGAACTGAGGCCCAGAGTGCAGATACAGCAACTGATGCTGGAGCATAAATTAAGCCCATGCTGTGTGTAGAGGAAGCCCCCCCCCCAGCTCATAGATACACAACCAGAGCATCTGTTAAGTCCCTGCTGTATGCAGAGCTCTCCCAATCGAGCAGCAAACCTGTGTGCCAGGCCCTGCCTGTGCTAGAGATAACAAAAACCAAAGTGAATCTTTTTTTTTTGGCTAGGCAGTGGAGTTCAGTGACTTGCCAAGGGTCACACAGCTAGTGTTATGTGTCTGAGGCTGTGTGCTCTATTCACTGCGCCACCTAGCTGCCCCCCAAAGTGAATCTTAATAGTTATAATAACATTGATGTTATCCTCCAAGGTTTGTAGGCCATTTTACATGTGTTAACACTCATTTAGTCTTCATAACAACCCTGTGACCACAAAAGTGCTGCTATTATGCCTTTTTATAGATAAGGAAACTGAGACAAGCAGGGATTAAATGACTTGCCCATAGCTACTAAGTGTCCGAGGAAGAATTTAAATTCAGGTCTTCCTGACTCTAGGTCCACACAATGGCACCTATCATTAGAGGACGTGAACATTTTAGGTAAAATATAGGTTCTACCTTCATGAAGTGGGAAGTGTGTTAGGGAATAACAGCGAGCAGATACAATAACATCGCATTAGCTGGCATTTATATGGCTACGTATATGCATTATGTTATTGTTATATAGCTATATTGTTTGTCCCTCATTTTCAAAAAGGACCAGTGACATCGAGACTCATGTGAATTGTGCGTGAGTTAGCCTCACTCTTACCGAGTCATCCAAGTCTAGTGGCAAGACAGAAGTCACAACAACTGGCAGTGGTGACCCTGGTGTCATCCTGAGCAAGCTCTAGTTTATTTCTGCCTACCCATTCTGCTGTGGAAAGCCTTCATCTGCGTGAGGTAGACGTCCCCCTAACTCACTTTGAGGCCTGTCAGGTACCCTCAATCTGGTCTAGCCTGTGTGCCGAGATGGTTTACCCCGAAGTGGAAAGCTCTCACACCAGAGATGCTAATCCTCCACGAACACCCCATACTTTCCATATAGCTACATAGTATATATTAAAGTTTGCAAAGCACTTTTTTATGTGTTATATGTGTTATCTTGTTTGATCCTCACCACAACCCTGTGCCATTATAATCTGACAGCTGAGGCAAACGGAGGTTACATGACTTGCCCAGAGTTCACAGAGCTAGTAAGTATCTCAATTCAGATTTGAACTCAGGGCTTCCTGACTCCAGGTCAGGAATTTTATCTACATATAAGGAAGGGCCTTCATGTGGACAGAGTGCATGCTGTGTTTGAAGACAGCAAGACCTGCCAGTTCTCTGTGACACTGCCTGTGTCACTGGACAAGCCACTAAATCCCTCTAGGACTCGATTACTTCATTGTAAAATGAAGCGGTTGGACTCAATGATCCCTAAGGTCCCTTCCATCTCTAAAGCAGTGATCTTACCTACTGAATGCTTACTTTATGTAGAATTCAGCCTCAGGTACTGGGGAGGTGGGAAGTTTAGATTTTTAACTACTGTTTGTTCTCTCATGGAGTATATAGTCTAATAGGAATCAGAAAAAAAATAACAAAATATATAATATAAACAAGGTTTTTATTAAGTATCTGCTGTATGTTGACCTTTGTGCTAGTTGCTGGGAGAGATTGAAAGCTTGGATGAGACATGCATTTCTTGCCCTAGTGGACAATGCTGTGTGTACCATGTGCACTGTCTGTATGGGGGAAGGAGAGACAGAGACAGAGAGACTGGTGCTGAGGAGGAACTGAGGCCCACTGGGTGAGATCCTAGCATGCAGATACAGCAATTGATGCCACAGTATCAATTAAGTCCTGCTGTGTGTAGAGGAAAGCACTGGGTCTATGGAAAGAAGAGGTGACACCCCAGCTCATAGATAGAGCAATGGTGGGGGGGGATGTTTGAATTTAAGGTTAACTAGTGCTCTCAGAGTTTTGTTGAATGGTCTCTTGTTTCTGATCATAATAATCATTAGCAAATTATTTCAGTCAAAGAATTTCAGTTAATCAACAAGAATGTATTAAGTGTCTACAAAAAAATGAAACAGTCCCTACTTTGAAGGAGATTACATTCTCATCTGATTTTAAACCAAGTCACTTATACCATTCTGGCAATCGAATGCAGAATCAGACAGTTTGCCACTAAAATAAAAAGAGACTATTAACATTACAAAATCAACATCCTCATATGTTAACCTAGATGGGTACACTGGGTGGCATGTGAGAAGACAAGGGGATGGAGCTATGTTGGACCTAGTTGGAGAAGGAACCTGAATGCCTGAATTGTGAGGCAGAAGTCTGTTTTCTTTGAACATTCTTTGTCCAAACCTCAGGAAATGTGTGGGCTTAGAATGCCGAGTGCAGAAGATCATGACAAGCCCTGCTAAGCCCCTTTATCCTCCTGGTAAAACTCAGGCCTGGAGTTCCATCTAAATCTACCACCTTCAGAATGGTGTGTCTCCAGAAAGCCAACTGAGGAAATGTGGGGAGGAGGAGAGAGTAATGGTTCTGAGGTCTTGGGTTTAAAACCTATTAATTATTGTGCTCCATATTGTGTGATCTTAATCAAGTAATTTCTCTTCTTCTGGGCCTTTCAGTTTCCTCGTCTGTAAATAAGGGGATTAAACTGGATAATCTCTTGACTGTCTTCCAATTGTAAGATCTGAGAGTGCCGTCTGAATCATACAGGGCCTGGGAACTTTCAGGGAACGTTTCATGAATAAATTCAGAATGTTAGAGGCCGAAAGGACTGATGATGGGGAGGATGAAGCAGAGAAGGGAATGGCCATCAAAGTCCATCATTGTTATTGGACCGTTTATAACAATAGCCCAGTGAGAATAATAGTCCCAGGGTTTTTCCCCCATTTTAGAGATTAGGAAAACATGACTCAGAAAGGTTAATGACATATCCACAGTTATGTAGCTAGAAAAAAGGACAGGTTCTAACCAAAATCTGACTCCAAGGTCATTGCTTTTTAAAAAATAGATCTTATTTATTCTTGACAAAGGTAATAATACGTATATTTCAAGATATGTGGGAGTGGAGCCAAGATGGTGGAGAAAAGGCAGTGATTTACCTGAGCTAAGTTGAAATACAGAATCAAAAACTTAAGGAAGAAAATAATCCCTTGAAAACAAGAATTGGGCAAAGGGAAGCTAATGAATATACTAAGACACAAAGAAATAATAAAATAAAAGAATGGAAAAATGGAAGAGAATATAGAACATCTTATCAGAAAAACAATTGATCTGGAGAATAGATCAAGAAGAAATAATATAAGAGTAGTCGGACTGCCTGAACATTATGATAAAAAAAAGAATCTTGATACAATATTACAAGAAATTATGAGGGGTAGCTAGGTGGTGCAGTGGATAGAGCACCAGCCCTGAAGTCAGGAGGACCTGAGTTTAAATCCAGCCTCAGACACTTGACGCTTATTAGCTGTGTGACCTTGGGTGAGTCACTTAACTTCGTTGCCTAGCCCCTCCCAAAAAATTATCATGGAAAATTTCCCTGAAGTTTTAGAACAAGCAGAAATAGAAAAAAAAACCCCGCCCATCACCACCTGAAAGAGATCCCAGAAGGAGAACTTACAGGACTATCATAGCCAAGTTTCAAAGCTCCCAGGTTAAGGAGAAAATATTGGAAGCAACAAGAAAAAAACAATTTAAACATCATGGAGCCACAATAAGGATTACACAAGACCTAGCATCTACTACATTGAAGGACTGTAGGTCTTGGAATACTATATTTTGTGGAGCAAAAGAGCTAAGAGTTATAACCAAATGTAACTTATCCAGCAAATTTAAGTATGATCTTGAATGAAAAAAAAAGGACATTTAACAAACTAAAGATGTTTAAGTGTTTGTGATAAAAACAGTAGAACTTAAGGGAAAATTCAACATACAGTATCCTGGAGAAATATAAAGTAATTGTTAAGGACCAAATATAAGGGCTCAGTAAGGTAAAATCATTTATTTCTTATATATGTAAATATTATCAGTTATGTCGTGATTATCATTTTTATTTGGGTGGTTTGAAAGGAAGGTTTGGCAGAGCTTAGTGTAATGGAATGGTTCTAAAAAAACTGTAAGGAGAGAGAAAAAGGAACAATTACCTCATGCAAATAAGGCAAAAAAGGAAAAATTGATACAGAAGAAGATAATGGGGGGAGGGTGCTAGAACTTTACTTTCATTGGGAATGGGTTAGAGAGGGAACAAATACACATGTATGTGTATATATATATATATATGTATGTATATATATATATATATATATATGTATGTATATATGTATGTATGTATATACGCACACCCCTAGAATGGTATGGAGTCTTCTAAATTCAGAAAGAAATAAGAGGGCAAGGGAATAGGGTGGGGGGAGAGGATAAGGTAAGGATTCTTAGAGGGGCGAGTAGGTTAAAGAATAGGAAGGCAGGATATCAGGTAGAAGTAAAGCAGGAGTAAGGAGGGGGAAGAATAGGGTGAAAAGGATAGTGAGGACAAATAGGAAGGAGGAAAATATACAAGAAGTGATTATAGCTTAGAATGTGAATGGGATGAATTTACCCATAAAATGGAAACTGACAGCAGATTAAAAATTTGAATTAACAATATGTTGATTTCAGGAAATGCTATAAAAATAAGGAATACACACAAACATAAAATAAAGGTCAGGAGTAGAATTTGTTATAGTAAAAAGGCAGGGGTAATAAATTATGATTTCAGACAAAAATAAAGCTAAAATTATTTGCTCAAAAGAGAAAAAAAACAGACACAGGAATTATACAAATATGAACAAG